AAACATCTCTGACTATATACCAGGAATGAACCTAGAAAGTTCTGCAAAGTTCTACAAGTAAAATCAGAATCGAGTCCTATAGAAACACTATTGAAGTGTGTTTTTATCCAAACATACAAAGTAAAAAGACTTTTTATGAAGCATTAATCACATTTTTTTTTTCATCTCAGTGGTTTATCACCTTAGCTGCACATTAGAATCTCCTGGGAAGCTTTAAAAACTCCTGGGGCCCAGACTACACTCAGAGCAATTCCAGCAGGATCTCTGGAGGTGGATGCAGGCATCAGGAATTTTTTTTTAACTCCCCAGGTGATTCCATTGTCCCGCTATTGCTGACAATCACCGCTTTTCCTTTTGTTATCTGAGCCCCTGAGTGGTCGTCCGTGAAGTGTACCGAAAGCAGGCGTACCCTTTCAAGTCAGCAGGAAGGTGCTTTCAAGGGCACACATTGGTGTCAGGAGACAGGAACTTGCCGTGTCTGTGCAGAAGCACGCAGCAGAGGAGACCTATGGACACATGGAGGGAGATATTCGGGCTTCCGGCATCTATAAAGTGGAATATCACACGGCAATCAAAAGGGGCAAGCTTCTCACACATGCAACAACATAGACAAACCTCAAATGCCTTCCGTTAAGGAAAAGGACTCAGACCTCAAAGGCTACGCAGGTTTCCGGGGACAAGAAGGAATGAAATACTGACAGAGGCTACAACACGGATGAACCTTGAAATTGTTCGTGCACAGTGAAAGAAGCCATTCAACAGAAGGCCACATGTTCCTTGACTCCGTGTATATTTGAAATGCCTAGAATTGGCAAATCCATAGGGATAGCGTTGTCATTGTACCTAATGCCACTAATTTGTACACTTCAGAGTGATTAAAATGGTCAATTTTATGTCATGGGTCTCTTGCCACCATAAAAAAGAAAAGCACAGCAGGTACTTGGCAAAGGCTGGCTTGGCATTTGGCTCTTCTGAAGACAGGAGACGTTGGCCTGATGTGTCCCTTCTTAGGTGGGACGAAAGGGAACATTTTCCAAAACCTCCTTCTTGAGAACTCGAGGATTCTCTGTGATCAGGAGGAACCGACCTGCCATTGTCTGCCCTCTGCTGCAATGACATGGTGTTCTCTCTCATCACAGAAATGTCTTCCACGTTCTTAGCGGTTGGGTTCATGCAGATAATATGCCCAGTGGCTTCATCTTGGGAACTGTTCAGGGTAGAGACTGGGATGCATGTCTTTTTACTTAAAGAATAGGTTTGTTTCGTTTCATGTTTGGAAGGAAAATCGTGCTCAATCATGGGTCTTCAGCAAATGCAGCTGAATAAATAAAAATGTGTGCATGAAACAGCAGGGGAACCATGAGGAACAGCTCTTTCGGCATGTTGGGAAGATATTTATGGTTGGGAACCTAGTGACCAAAAGGCAAGACTGCCTCAAGATGAGAAAAACCGGGGGAGGAGGTCATCTGGAGGCAGAGCTTGGCCATGGCCGAGGACAATGAATCGAGCAGTTGAACCTCCCAGCTCTGCGTGGGCCTTCGAAGCCCTGAACAAGAATCTTATTGATGATTTGTCAGACCCTGAGCAGACAACTCTGAACTTTAACAGAGCCAGGATGGAAAGCCTGCACAAGGGCCTACAGTTTCCAGAATGAACAACACACTTATTTTTTCCCCTCCCTCTGCTGGAGGACGAGAGA